AATTGATTTCGCGGACAATGTGAGGGACAAAAGGGCCCTGGGGATCATTTTGCAAGGTTTAGTTCAAGCTTTAGGCTACAACACAACGCCAATTCAGATCGCTTCGTTGCCAAATTCTGGATCAATGCAACTTGGACCAATAACGCTGGACCTACGGAATGCTCGGGTGGTCAATTCAAGTCCTAATCCTGCTCCAACGATGGCCACGGCTGCAAACTCTCCAAGACAAAGAGAAACTTTGCGATTTACTGGAGTGGTTAATTTTGGAAATGGAACTAGTATCGCGGATCACTTGCGAAGGTACGAAAGGATCTTCCACGGAAATGGGTCGACACCTCCTGCACCTGTAGCTCCTACTGCAGCTCCAACTTCTGCTCCAGCACCTCCAAGTCCCTTGCCATTATTACAACCAGTATTTTTTCCAATTCCAATTCCTCTAGCCGAAAATCTGCGATATCCAAAGCCGCTGCTTTCGGTTGTTTCAAATGCTCCTTCCACAACCAATCCCCCAAATCCCGTTCCAGACCCACGAGTCCCTTCAAAACCGCAACCAAAACCTACACCTGCACCAGAAAGTATTGAAGAGCGGCCCAATTCTGCAGAAAGTGCAGAAAAAGATGTGAGTGGAAATGGGTATCAGAAAAACGAGTCTCAAGAGCTTGAAGACGAAAGAGAGGCAAGTAAGGAGACTGAAGGGAACCAGGTGGATGAAAATGAATCCAGTGAGGAGATGATGGCCAAGCTGAAGGAGTCGTTAAGCAGCCCGGAAGAGTATGCTCCGAAGTTTCCTAAATTTTCGAAAGGATTTGGATTCAACTTGCCGATAGAAATCAAACCTTTCCGCGGACAATTGATGAATAGTTACGGTCATAGTTTGGAACACGGTGGGAAAATCGATCCTAGTGTTGCGGACTTTTTTGCGAAGTACAAAAATCCCAGGACTGGAGTCTTCGAGCCGCTGACAATCGATGTTCCTGAAGACTCGGTGGAAAAGCTTCCGGAGAAGTATTTGAACAAGCAGAACAAGTATGAGGAGTATGATCTGAAGGATGAGAAAGATGATGAGATTCAGAATGTTTCTAATGAAGATTTGAAGGAGGAGAATTATGAAGATGATCTTGATAATGAAGAAGAAGAAGAAGAAGAAGAGGGTGAGGAGGGTGAGGAAGAAGATGAGGAGGAAGAAGAGGAAGGAAACGTTGCGGCTGAAATGTTGAAGAAAATGCAGAATCAAGAATCTGCAAGGCAACCTCAGGAGAATTTGCAGAATGTTCCTCAGTATAACCAAAATTTGATAATGCCGGGAAATAACCCGAGGGTTCAAAATGTTCCTTTTGGAGGGCAACCTTACAATAATTTCGGTAACTTGAATCCTTATTATAAGCCTGTGCAGTATTTTTACTCACCTGATTCGCTTGAAAGAACTGCACAGCGCGTTGCTTCATATCAGAATGATCCCAATTTCGTAAATATGAATCAAGGATTTCCACCAAGCGGAGAGGCTTTCATCAGAGCTAATCCGGAATATCTGGGCCCGAGGATTGCTAAGAGGATAGCGGCGAGGGACCAGAATATCTCGATTAATAAAGGAGGAATTGTAACGGCAGTTGGTGATAAAAGAGATCAGAGAGAAGAGCCAGTTGTTAGAACTTTGTCGCAAACTTCCAGAAAACTAGAAGAAAAAATTACTGTTTCAAGGTCCAGTTCGCCGAAAAGAAGAGATTCAACTTCAACGCCGAATCCTAGAACTGAACCTACTTCAACTTCAACTCTTGTAAATCCCAGAAGAGCACCAGCTTCAACTTCAGCTCCTGTTTCTTCAAGGGAAGAAACAAAACGAAGAACAGATCGGAGACGTAGTGGCGCTTCTGGGTCTAAAAATAGAAATCCCGAGATTGTGAATGAGAATAAAGGTCAATTCTCGACTCCTATTAATGTGAAGAGAAACGTTGAGTCAACTCGGTCAGTTCGCGGTCGATCGAGAAACTGAAGATTGTTTTGTAATCTTTTGTTGTAATAAAAAATTTGTGGAGATATTAGTTAATTGATTTTTTACTTTTTGCACTTTTTTTTCTTTGTTACTTTTGTATCTATGATGGATTTATTGATTGCGAATTTTGTTACAGGACAAAAAGGAGGAAAAGCTACGGCAGAGTAATTTAGAAAGCAGGATGACTGAAATATTAGATAATTTAAAAAGTCGATTGTTAACTGAGTAATTAATTCAATAAATTATGTTTAATGGAAGCGTTTTTTTATTTTTTTTTGCCTTCTTTAAATGCTCATAAAAATTATAAATTTTTTTTTAAAAGGTGAGGCATCTTTTTTTTTTATTTGTTATATCTTAATTAGAACTGAAGATGTTTTTCTTCACGGTCGATCTGTAATGACTTTGTTTTTTAGTTTCTTCAACGTAGCAGTGATTAAAAAGCAATTAAAGCTGTGATAAAATTTCACTGTTGAAAAATAATAAATTTAATTGTTTCTGGCTTTGAACTTCTAAATATTAATCACAGAATCCAAATCTTTAAATAAAAAAATTAAATATTTAATTTTATCATAGCTAAAAAATATTGTTTTGATGAAAGCATGATCGATTATTATTGCTTGGATGGAAAAAAGTGGCAATTTTTTAAAATAATAAACATCTGATTTTTTTTACATTGTATTGATCGCCTATAACCCGAAGCGAAAAATAACAGAATGTCTAGAAGGATCGGCCGTTGAATTCACATTACAAAATTTCACGAAACATGATGAGGGCTTTTATAGGTGTTATATAGAAAATATAGTTTGTTCCTATGTTCATGTAACTATGGAAGGTAAATTCTTCACACTTTTTTGATGATTGATATTTTATGTTTGTGCTTATGGTAATTTGTTTTCCGATAGATGCTAAGAAAGAGTACCAGAAGTTAAAAGCGGTTGAAACTCCAATGGATGCAGAAGATGCAGACAACTTCTGAAGTTTTTATGTTTCTTTGTAACCAAGAAATTGATTTAATAATATAGAGCTTACTAATAAAGATATATTATGTATGGATATAAAATTTGGATAAATAATCTATTTGCAGAATTTTTTTTTCGTGTTTTTAAGCACATTTTTTAATTAATTTTGCCGTTATGCAAGGATTAATAAAGTTACATTTGGGTAAAAACATTAACACCTGAATATTCTAATATTAGAAAAATTACGGAATTTTTATCATTTGAAAAATCCCATTAGACAAATTACAATTATAAATATAGTTTTATGAGCGGTATCTTATCAAGATATAATTTTGGTTAACAATTTATAATGACAGGTCAGTTTTAAGTATATATATATATATATAATTATAGTCTCAAAAATGAACTTGAAATCAAATTAAATGCGATAATTAATAATATGTTAAAAAAATCTAATTTTAATAAAAATTAAAAGAAAAAGTTCGTATCTAGAGTCTCAGGAATTTTTTTTAGAGCAATTTGAGTAGGCTAGTTAAAAAGCTGAGAAAATTTTACAAAAGAAGACTACTCGCGCATCACAATACCTTTTGGGTCAAATTTTTGATTAATTGATTAATAAAATATTAACCAGTTAATTTTCTATTAATCATTCACTTAACATACAAGTGTGGGTAGTCATTTTACTCGGGCCGACGATCTCTAGGTCGCACTCTGCTTCGATTTTCAAATTTCTAAAATTAAAAATTTTCATAAATTTATCTAAAAAAATTTATTATGTCAAAAATAAATGCTTTTAAATTATCTAATGTAAGCTATGAGGCAGTTTTTCTAACATTATATCTCACGACTCATTGTAAAATTGATGACTCTGTTTATAACTTTTAGGATCATGAAAAGTCGTTAAATTCTTCACCGTCTGTCTAAAGAATTGACTCAGTATTTTATAGCGATCGATAAATTTTAGTCATTAAAGATTTTTTTTTTGCGTAGGAAAATTTAAGGTTTAATATTTTCAAATAATTTAAAAGGTTTTTCATATTAAAAATAAATTAATTTATGTGCCTCTAAGTATCAAATGACAGATTCTAATAAAAATTATTCATTCTTTTAACAGTAACAATTTTATTTCTTGAAATTAAAAGAGTGAAGAGATATCTTAAAGGCTTATCTATACCATTTCGTTGCATTAACCATGTAGTAATGTAACGACCAATAAAATTGCTCGTGGGCAAAAAGCACTAGAGTATTATCAATTTGACGCTGACGTAATTTCTATCTTTCAAAAAATTCCACTAGACAGAGAATAGACTCGACAAACTAGAAATTAATTTAATCCGAACAAAAACAGTTTCACTGTAAAAAAAATCGCGCCAAGTCCACGTTCATAAGACTATTAAGAAAAAAAAATTAGTTTTTTTCTCTACAAAAAGATATAAAATAAAAAAATTAAAAAATCCAAGTAACCGATATGATTGTTTATGATTTTCGGAAATTAAAAAGAATTTTGCTGTAAATTTAAAAATTAAAAATAAAGTATGAATTACTGTTATAATATACAATTTAGGAAAAAAAGTACCGTAGAATTAAAGAAAATTTTGCAACCTCAAAATACCGTTCTGCTTACAGTAAACACAGTCGGTAGTCTGGCGCTCCGTTGACAACGGATTTGAACGGAACTTGGCGCCAGATTCTACCGAATCTGTGGATAGTCAGTATCTTATCAAGTGATAGATTTGATTAATTTAATTAACATTGAATATTGACAGGTCAAATATATTAATAGCCATAATCTCAAAAATCAATTTGCTTATCGGTTACGTAGGAATGAACTCGCAACCAAATTTGATGCAACTATTGATCATATATTTTTATAAAAATCCATTTAAATTGAACCAATCATCGTCGAGTACGATAAGAGTCACTCCTTTAAATTGAGAGTGTGCCAGAGTGTTTGAACATTAATCTTACAATTAGTCTCGAGAGTTAGTCATCCACAAGTCATTAAAAATTACAGTTTTATTATAATTTTATTTTTATCCGAACAAACAAATATGCGTTTTAATTATTCAAGTACATTTTTCTGCTCTTTTTGGGGTAAGTTTCAAATTTTTTACTTCAAATCCTTACAAATATTTTAAAAAATTTATAAATTTTATAGAAATTTATCGTTTTAATTTTTTTATTACTTTGTTATTTATTAGAACATGAAAATTATTATATAAAATGATAATATACTTTGACATTGATTTAAAAAAGTTATAAAGTATTAATAATAAGTATTTTAAATTGAAGATTTTATTGAAAAAAAATTAACATTATTTTATTAATTTACAGTATCGCTGATATTTGGAGTGAAAGCATTTCCTCAACTAACCAACAGTTCAATAAAGAGTAAATATTTTTTTTTAACAATTAATAAAATAAATATTTGATTGAAAATTTTTTTTAGTTCATTAAAATTAGAGATTTGAGTCAAGAAAATTAATTTAAATTTTATTTATATTTTTTTCTTCTCAAAAAAAAATTTTTTTTCTTCCGAAAAAAAAATTATTTTACATCAAAAAAAAATTTTTAAGTTCGCACACAAAGCTAGCACAATAAATTAAGACAAGATAATTTATATTATAAAAAGAATTATTTCTCTTTTTGCTCGATAAAAATTTTACTCTACTTACAAGCTCAAATAAATAATTTTCTAATAAAAAAAATTTAATTATTTCCAATAACTTATTTATAAATTTGACTGCCGGTAAAAGTCGTAAAGTTGTTTTTTTTTTTTAAAGTAATTATACTTTTAATAAAACGGCAAATGGTTCTTTTATCGGTTTAAACTTAATTAAATATTAATGAACTTCATTCTTTCGAGCTTCCTTCTCTCACCATTCTATTTATCTATGATATATTACAAACGAAATATTAAATAAGAGTAAAAAAAAAAAAAAAAAAAATTGGCAAGCGCAGTAGCCTATCGGATACCCATAAATTTATTAAGTTAATTTCTCTTGGTAAATATATATTTATAGGGTAGTCGGGGGTGAGAAGCCAGTGAGCTAGCGAACGAGCAAGTAGTAGTATAGCATAGTTATAGTTATATATACATAAAATAAGGCCGTGCAAAGGGCATCATTCTAATTGCCCCGGACTTCCTTTCATCCCCTTTGTGCAATCCCGAGTGCGCAGCTTATATATATATATATATATATATATATACTTTTTTTTTTTTTTTGATACAAGGCGTTGGTGTAAACCAATATAGCCAAATATACTTATTTACAACTACGCGTTAAGTAGAGCCATCTACCAACACCGACCACCAACAAAATATTTGTTAACTATCAACAAATCTTATTTGGTGGAAATAAATACTTTTTTTCAATACACTAAAGCTTCTTAATAGTTACAAAAATTTTGTTCTCATAAAAAATTGATTTAGTTAATACTAACGAATATTGTTAATAGTAAAAAAATATTTTTTTCACCCAAAAAAATATCTGAAAAAGATTTTAATAAATTGATTTATTAAATACAAACAAATCCTTCTATCAGTGTATGTACACTGAAAAAAAAGATACTCAAATCAAGAAGTTCAAGTTCTTTAAAATTATTTACTTGATTCAAGTTAATTTTATTTTTTTCTGTGTAAACTTATGGAAAATCTGACATTTAATTTAGCAGACACTTTACAATTATTTAATTTCACTTTAACTATGTCTAAAAATTATTTATAAAAAAATTGCCTTTATAATTTTTTAGAGTTTCTGAAAATGGAATTTTTAAAATAAATTTTTCTTGCTATAATTTACTTGTAAAAAATTTCAAAAAATTATCTGATGTCTCTCAATTTCAGTATCATAAAAAATTATCTCACTTACCGACAAATGATAAAGCCGCGCCGTTCGTTCCACGATTACCATGAATTTAACATTAATTTTTAAAGAAAATTTCTTTTAGCAATTATAATTTTTTATTATTTATCGGAACTCCTGAAATTATCTTCTCTGATTTCGAATTATTTACCTAGATCCCTCAATCGCACCTAGAAATAAAGCATCAGTACATCTACAACACGCACAAAGCGATAGCAAAACGGAAAGAATCTGTCTATGGCGATACTGGCTGGTACGGCTGCGTGGATTTAGATAAATTTAACTCTTCAAAAGCTTCGTTGATCGGCTTAAGTCCTGAAAACTTTAAAGAAGCTGATGTCCAATGGGTTTATGTTTATGTTAAATGTAATTCTAACGATACTTTCCAATTCAAGCTTGATAAAAACTTCAGTTTTCTTACTTTTATTTTTTTTTTTTTTTAGCAAATCGACAAGCATTCCACGGTAATGTTGGGAAGTACACAAATATGTACAAAATAATAGGCGATGACGTAGTCCTTCCTTGTAACGTAAACTCTCCGGACTACAGTGTAGTTTGTTATCATGATGGCTACGTAAGTATTATTCAAGGACTTTATTTATATAAAATAAATTTTTTAAAACGAGAGTGAAATTTTTTTATGACAATTAACTATATTAGACCATATATAGACTTATCAAGTTTGATCTGGCTATATGTGCCCACAATTACTTTTTGGACAAAGTTAGTTTTTAAAGTCACCGACAGGTGGCGCATGATAGCTAAATTTTCTCGCTACCAGAGAATAACACCTGAGATATTTAACTCTGAAGTAAAAATAATTTTTTTTTGACTATTCTGAGAAGCTTTTTCATAGAAAATAATTAAAAATTGATAATTATGATGACAATTTAAAATTTAATTTTTATGTATGGCTTGATATAAAAATTTTTTATATTATACAATGTATAGACTTATCAGGTTTGATATGACCATATACGTCCACAATTAATATTTAGACAAAGTTAGTTTTTAAAGTCACCGATAGGTGGCGCATGATAGCTAAATTTTCTCGATACCAGAGAATTACACCTGAGATATTTAAGTCTGAGGTAAAAATAATTTTTTTTGACTATTCTGAGAAGCTTTTTCATAGAAATAAATTAAAAATTAACAATTAAAGATTTTTTTTTATATATGGCCTGATATAAAAATTCCTAATTAAAAATTTTTAGAGCCGATTGTCTCATTAAAAAAATATTGCAGAAAATTGACATGGAAGGAACAAGAATTTCATATGATCCAAAAAAAGGACTTGTTATAAGAAACGTAACCACTAAAAATTCTGGGTATTATCAATGTTATGATAACGTTTATCATCACACAATAAGCTACATGCTTCATGTAACAAGTAAGCATTTCTAGTTAAACTTTATTGCAATTTTAACTATAAAAAAATAATTTGTTTTTAGAAAAACTAGCTGATATGTACAATCCAGTAATAAGTAAACCTGACGAAGATGAAATGATCCTCGGGGAGCAAATCAGATTAAATTGCACTGCTGAATTTTCTCATGAGAGCTTTTATCACTTAGAATGGAAAATTCCTCACCAGGTTAGCAAGCTACGTTTTATCTTTCAAAAATTAATTTATCAATTGAACAATACTTAAAGATTTTTGTCATGACTTTCAGAGTGACAGAGTGTCTATTAACACTTATGAATTAGAAAATGACATGAACACGCATGTCCAAGTCCAGGAAGTGGTTATCGATAAAGCAGACAGCAGTGACCAGGGCGAATATGTGTGCACAGCTTCCTCGGGTAGTAATACGAAATCCGCGAAGATAAACGTCCAGCTGAAGAAACCGCCGCTTGTAAATTGTTCCAGTAAGAAAGACTTGGCTAGAGCGATCGCCGGGTTGAAGGACTCCTTACTCCAGGAAATGAAGTCCGGGCTTGAAGCATTTATTATTAACACGGTTGAACAATCTGTTAGCAAGAATATTGAATTGCAATTAGCGTCGATCAAATCTAAACTGGATCAGTATTTGTTGAGTTAATTTTTAGGATTTTAATTTAATAGGATTTCAATTATTTATTATTTAGGAGAATTAACTAATTAACTTTGATCTCTAATATTATGTGTGGTAATGAATTAAAATTTTTATTTTTAATGTGTAAATTATTCCTCATTTATATATTTTTGTTACGTCCAAATTTTAGACATAAATTATTAAATTATTTTGGTCCTGGTATTTTTCAACCACTAGATCGGGAACCCAGAAGGATGTCAGAAAACGGTGTGGTTGTCTTTTGTAGATATTTTTATATAATTAATTATGAATTTCAGAATTTAAAATTTTAATAACATATATTAACAAAGCGTTTAAAGTTACAGATTTACAAGTTTACATATTTCAATTTAATCATACCTGGTCGTAGACACTCACATACACTGTATAATATTATCCTATTCTTTTCGACATTTTATTTTATTCAAAATTTACTTTTGTTATTTTAAAATTATTCTTCTTAGTTTAACGTTTACGTGGAAGAAACACCGGCCACTAACTAAGATTTAGGCGATCCGCAACTTAGAAATATTTTCCTAGCGATTCCTCGACGGGAGTCTCTGATGAGACTCCCGCACGAAGGTGCCACCCATCTACTAGCTAGAATTGATCTCCCTTCAAAACAGAACAGGACTACACCAGGAAGAGTTCAAGCGAGGATCTCTGGGCCTCGAAACTTTGGGCGTTTCCAAATTTCTATTTGGGGGAAAACAGTATCCAATTAGCTGTCTATTTCCCTTAGACTCTACCCTCTCTTTCAGGTTTTCCGAAGATGTTCGCTTGCACTCCCTTCTTTGGGCCTAGAGGCATGATGTGCCTCTCTCTATCTTACTTATAGGCTATTTGTACCTATGTATTATATTGGTCTACATGCAAGTACATTTACATACACACAAATACATAGTTTCCTTATTTAACAAAATCTTTTATATTATTTATAAATATTACTAATTTATTTCTTAATTAATTATTTATTCAATTATTTATTGATAATAAATTCATTATCAATAATTAATTATTAATCTTCTGTGTTTATTTAAAATTGTATATTGTTTTAAATATTAAATTTTTTTTAAAGAATTATTTAAAATGTTCCCAAAAGAGATTATTATTATTTTAATTATTATTTCTTTAACATTTTTTTATTGTTATTTTTCTTTAAAGAATTGTTTAAATTATTTTTAATTTACGTTACATTATATTATTTACTATTATTCGTTATATTGTTATTTGTTATTTAACTATTTTATTTCTAAAATTATTTATTATCTAATCTTTTTTATTTTTTTAATCTTTATATTTTACTTAGGGTTTTTTTTTTTTCTAAGTTTATCTTATTTAAAACAAACTAAAAACTTTCCCAGACTTTGTCAGTGATGCCATTGAAACTAAGGGCAATAAAACTCCCATTTATTTGTGTACTTAGGATTTTAATCTTTTCAAAGCATTATTCATTTTTCTAACGTCGGGAAAATTTTTAGAGAGACTGGACGAGATACTTAATGTTTTTCTCGTTAAATTTTTCTCGAATTTTATGCTTTGAAATAAAATTCGAAGAAACCATAAAATAAAAAAAAATGTATTTTAAAAAAAGACATTAAGATAAAAGAAACTATCGTTATAAGCCACAACGTAACATTTTAAAAAAAATAAAAAATTGGATTTAATTAATAGCAATTACTTATTAGTGAAGTTAAGTGCCATTAAGTTAATAACAACGTATTAAATAATTGGCTCTTTTCTGAGAAATCAATTTTTATTGTCTATGTCAGCAAAATGCCTGGAATTTTTGGGTTTTTTTCCGAACGATTAAAAAATAACGAGGCGTATTTTATCAGTATAAATTCAAGCTCAAGTAAATTTTTTACGTATTATTTTTTATACTATTGAATTGTGTTTTTTTGGTTGGTTGAATTGGTTGAAAAATTATGGATTTGAAGAATTTTGGAGCACTTTTTCTACTTGTTCATATTTACGGTATGTTTTAGAAAAAAAAAAATAATAATAAAATTTTCACTGAAAATAAAATTAGTTCTTAATTTATAAATTGAATTTTTAAAATAAAAATTTAAAATTATAAACTATTTTTTTCTAACTATATACTGTAATGTTTCGATTTTTTTTTTCCGTGTACTAATTAAGAATTTTAATGTCATTAAAAAAATAAATGCTTCCAATTGTAATTTTCTAAAGTTAAACAAAATATTCTATAACAATTTTATTTACATTTTTAATTAAAAATTTTTTACTAATAATTTAGCCGCAGAATCTTGGGCTAATCCACCATCATTGTTTCCAAATATTAAAGAAATAACTTTATCAGAAAATGACACTTTAGAATTAGAGTGTACCAGTCAGAAAAATGTAACATTTATCTATTCATCTGATACATCTTGTACGGTGAGTCAAAAATTCTCATAAAAATATAAATTTTGTTAAATAATCTATTAAATTACTTGTACAGTATTATATGTTCCAACCTGCCCAAAGATACCAATACGAGGTAAACTAAAATTTTTACAAAAAGTATCAGTACAATAAAACAGTCAATAATTTTTTAAATTATTTAGTGTTTTTCAAATAAACCGAATATTACTTACGAATTTGACGGTGAAAAATATTTGGCTAAATTCAGCCGCGAAGGTACTATCTTCCAAGAAACTGGATGGTACGGTTGCATTGAAAGTGATAAATTAATTGCCGAGGGCTGGGACGGACTTGAATGGATCGGTCTAACGCCCGATTACTTCAACAAATCCGATGTTTCATGGACCTATGTTTACATAAAATGTAAATCTTTAATTCAAAAAAATTATTTAAAAAAAAAAAATCTTTTTAAATTATTCTGGGGTCTTTTCTTGCAGCAAAAAAGTCTATTTTTCTTGAAGTATCTTGGTATGAATATATTTTGCATGAAAATGTTGGGAATGACGTATTTTTTTCATGTCGATCAACTTCGCCAAATGCGAAAGCGAAATTCATGAAGGTAAGTCAATTAATAAAGATTTTTTAATATTTTTTAGTACAGATTGTGAATTTTATAATGGTAATAAAAGAACAATTTCAGAAATTTTCACTTCAAGACAATTTCAACCATTTGAATATTACACGTGATTCTGAAAGAGGATTTACGCTGAAAAATGTTACATTTGATGATTCTAGAGAATACATTTGTTACGTTTATGGTGATTTTGAGAATAAAATCGTTCAATTTCAATTAAAAGTTACAGGTAGATAAAATTTTATTATTTAATTATATCCATTTTAAAATAAAAGTATATCCTAAAAAAAAATATTTCCATAGTATTTTATGAAATTTAACAAAATTTTCATTTTACTTTCTTAAATATCCATAAAATTTTCATCAAAATAAACTTTTAGGTTTCTGTCAAATTTAATTTTGGAAATTTTATCAAAGTTCAAATTTTAAACTTCATAAAAGTCTATTGAATGTCAATTTTAAAGTCTATTAAAAACAATTTTAAAAATATTACTAAAAATCAAGTAAATTAATAATTTTAAGAGTAAAACCGATTCTGCTAAGTTAAAAAGTGCGCTGTTTTTTTTTTTCTACATTAACAATTATAAAAACTCATTCCTTAAATATAAAAATAATCCCATCTTATAATAAGATTAATCTAAAAAAATATATTTTTACCATTCAATTAGATAATTCAACTTTCTACAACCCAGTTATAATTAACAATTCATCAAAATCTCTAATTCCCGGTAGAACGTTAAGATTAAGATGTTCCGTTGTTACTCCTTACGGCTACTTGTATTTACTTCAGTGGAAAATTCCTAATCAGGTACATTAACTATAAAATAATTAACAAAATGGAAACTAATAATGTTACTTTTAGAATGCAAGTATAGCTTACAGCTACTCCGATGCATGGAATGACCAGATTTCTCATACACTCACCAATGATATTATTATCTCCGGAGTAACTAGTGAAGATGAAGGAGTCTATGAGTGTGAATATGTAGCTCCACAATTGAAGAAACGCGTTTCATCTAAAATAAATATAACCCTCGATAATGGTATTATTGCGCTGGATGGTGAATTTTCTTTCATAATCTTTTCTCAATGATAAAAATTTTTTTTTTTTAATTTTATTTATTTATTTTTTGGCTGAAATAGACTCTATAGAGAGATTGGAAAAGATGAAACATAAATCCTCGAATATTAAAGTTGAAATGAAATCGCTGTTCAATGATTATCATATACATCAATCGAGGGTTGAGAAGATTGTAACAGATAAATCCTCAGCTCGTAAGTTCGCCGGAACCAGGTTCAGTCTTATTGAGGAAATACCATTCAAACAATTAATTAATTAAAATTAAATGAACTTAATTGCCTTTAATAGTTGATTTAAGAAAATATAATTTAATAATAATAAAATAAATACAGAGTAATGCGGTTAGTTTTTTCTATAAGAAATAATTTAAACGTAATTTAAACGAATGATAATAAACGGGCGGTCTTTTTAATTCAAATCGCGAACTAAGTGAACTCAAAGCTAGCTCCCCCTTCCTGGTGACTCGGCGTCGTCCAGGAGTCTCTGACTCTATTCCCAGGCACAAGCGGATCAAATCCTTCTTGCCCCACCTACTCGGCTTGCGTACCAACAGTATCTCGGCAGAAGGCGAAGATACTGGGAGAGTAATAATTAATTTTTAGCAAGTGTGTATCCAGCGACACGCACTAACTAAGATATTAATTAATGTAAAAACAACACCTTGATTTTATCCCAGCGGACCAAATTCAAAGTAAATTGATTGGCGAGAACACAATCCAGCGACTAGTGAACTCAAGACAGATAAAACCTTTTATCGGAATCAGGTTATCAAACGCGTTTTTAAAATTGCTTTTAACTATTTCGGAACAACAGTCTTCGACCGGACGCGTAACCGAATTTTTCGCGCTCTAACGGTGGATCGGGAACTAAAAATAATCTAGCTAATTTAATTTCATTTTAAACTTTGTTATTGAATATTTTTATAACATTTAAAACATTTAAATAATAAAAAAAAAAAATAAATTCTTGAATATCTTCACAAGATGATGGACAGAACTTTAGCGGAGTTCAATCAACTTGATGCCAGTCTCAAGTCACTTAAAAATGATGTTCGTTATTTTCAGTCACGTTTTAGTAACTTTCGAGAGCTAGACAACGCAGAAAACAAAACTATTCATTTTTAAAAGTGTTTAATTAATATTAATGAAGCTTTTTAATGAACACAGAAAAAATAATTAACTTGAGACAAGTAAATAATTTTGAAGAAATTAATTTTCTTGAATGAGTAGAAAAATTTTTAAACTAAGATATTTTTTTAGGTTTAAAAAAATTTTTTTAAATTATTTTCTGGGTTTAAGAATTCTTCTCTTGATTCAAGTTGATTTTTTTTTTAATGAATGAATGTGCAATATGAATAAATAATCGTCGATTTAATAACAATCAAATGTAATTTTTTTATTTAAAAAATTCCGGCTGTTAATTTGATTTTTCAGACTAAAGTTTAAGTATTTGTCTCTTTTAAAACAATTACGGATAAATGAGCTTTAGCTTGATGATTTTTTTATATTTTTAATTACAATTTAGACGTTTGAGTACTCTTTAAATAAATAAAAAAAATAATATAACTACAATCCAATAATAAGCAAGAAGATTCTCAAGAAATTATTTCTTATTGATATATTAAAAAAAAAAAAAAAAAAAATAAAAAATTACTTTACTTTTATTTAATTAAGAGTATCCATTAGTAAAGTTAAGTGCTGATAAGTCGATATCAACTTTATAAATTAATTTTATTTTTGTAAATCAATTAATTTTATGTTTCAATGTCACCAAAATGTTTAGAATTCTTGAGGTTTCTCGAACAATTAAAAAATTACGGGTAGCTTACTATATCAGTATAAAATCGAGCTCGAACTAATTGTTAACGCACTATTTTTTCTACTTCTAAATGTTTTTTTTTTTGTGATTGAAAAATAATGGATTTTAAAAGCCTTGGAATATTCTTCTTACTTGCTCTCTAAACATGAATAAGTGAATATTCACTTATTTAAGTGAGAATCGAGCCACTGACTTGAAAAAGTGGCTCGATTGGCACTTAAGTGAATATTCACTTATTTGACGAATTTTCACTAATTCAGTTTTAGGGAGTGTTAATATTTACGGTAAGTTTTACAATAAAAATAAAACCATTTCTCAAGTTAAAAAAAAAATATTCAATAATAAATTTATTTAGATTTTTAGTAAATTTATTCATTTTTTTACAAATTAAAAATTTTTACTCATAAATTATGAGTCATAATCTAGCCACAAAGTCTTGGGCTAGTTCACCATCATTGTTTCCAAGTATGAAAGAAATAACTTTATCAGAAAATGACACTTTAGAATTAAAATGTACCGGTCAGAAAAACGTAACATTCATCTATGTATCTGATACAACTTGTAAGGTGAGAAGAATTTTTATAAAAATATAAATTTTGTTAAATAATCTGTTTAATTATTTGTACAGTATTATATATCCTACCCTGCGAAAGAAAACGAGTACAAGGTAAACTAAAATTTTAACAAAAAGTATCTTTACAATCAAGCAGCCAATAATTTTCTAAATTATTTAGTGCCATTCAAATGAACCGAATATTACTATAGAATTTGACCGTGATACTTATACGGCGCTATTCAGACGTGAAGGTGTTATCTACCAAGAAACTGGATGGTATGGTTGCATCGAAACTTTTAAATTAATTGACGAAAAATGGATAGGACTCGAATGGATCGGCCTAACGCCCGATCACTTAAAAAAATCCGACGTTTCATGGACCTACGTTTACATACAATGTAACTACTATATTTCTAACTAATTTAAAAAGCTAATTTATAAAACAAACCTTGATTCTTTTCTTGCAGCTTACTAAGATGGACGGTGTGGCTTAATCTATATAGAATAAGTGAAAGGAAATTTAGTATAGACCGGATAGCTCAAATGGTAGAGTAGCCGACATATCTTCAGAAGGTTCTGGGTTCGAATCCCAGTCCGAGCTATCTAATAATTTTTCTCGCATATTTTATACACTCACATTAAGATGATCCTCTCCATAATCCTTTCTCAATCCTTTCCTACCAATTATCCTGTTACGTGAATGTTGGAACGCTTCACGTAATAATTATCCGTAACTCCTATTCTTTCCCGCTTCACAGCATTATTTATATTTGTTAAAAATGTGGAACGCTTTACGATTTTGCGTGTCAATATAGGACAGATAATAACTAGGACAAGTTAACTAAGTATCGAATTATCGCAAAAATGTGATCCATGATTACCTATTGGGTGAAAAATTAAGCGCGCAATTTAAATCCTTAGTATTATTTAAATTCTAATTGAATAAACAAAAAAATTTATTTAATATATGTCCAGTTATTTTAGTATCAAGCCTGTATGTCCAATAATTGGACAATACGCTCCCATAAAAAATTATTCTCCTCCATACCAGCTGCCGCCATGTTTACCCTGCGTTCTTTCTCCACTAGCACTGGTCTATGTAATTCAACCAAGCCTCCTCCAGAGGGCGTCTTCGTCCCCCCCCCCACTCTCGGTTCTCCCTCCCAGAGAAATACCAATAATTCCAACGAATAGATAAATAAGAGGAAAAAAGAAACATCAAATTAATGAGCCAACTCAGTTCTGAACGCGTCATTTAAAAATGGCGATTTAAACCTCCAGTAGCTCAAAGCTCAGCCTCACCCCCAGTTCCGATTCGACTGCCGTCATGTTTTGTATAACAAATTAATCGTTAATAAATGTAACTAATTAATTATTGCAGTAGTTTTTAATGAAGAATAGAGTTTTTAAGTGATTAATCATTGACTAAATTATAATTATGGGATCAAGTAAAATAACTTTCGGCACTTTGATATCGGTAATTATAATAGTAATCGCGATTTACTACCGGAATAGCGATCTTGAGCTAAGGAGCAGATTAACCCACGTTTTAAATGGACTGGAGCATTTGGAGTCCAAACATGAAATCGCGGTTAAGCCCAAAATAGCGGTCGGGTATGGTGCCTGTGCAGATGTTTATATTGATGCGAAGTATTTGCTCAAGTACTCCGAAAAGGTCGGAGACCCCCAGCATTATGACGAAATTGACAGTAAGGAGCAATTGTTAAAGAGTTTCGCTTATTACTTTCGTCATGGGGCCGCTGCTGAGTAAGTGGTATTTTATGTTTTTAACTTCAAAACCTGAATTAACAAAGCGAAAGTTGATTTTAGATTTTATAACTTGTTATTTATCTTTACTAATAAATAAAGAATTTTTTTTTTAAAGACTAACTGAAGAAACTACACAGAAAAAAAAAATCTTCTTAAATCAAGTATATAATTTTAAAGAACTTAATCTTCTTCATTTGAGTAGAAAAATTCTTAAACTAAGAAATTTTTCTTGGTTTAAATAAATTTTACTTGATTCAAAAATTTTTCTCTTGAATCAAGTTAATTTTTTTTTTTCAGTGTAATACACAGAAAAAAAAATTTTAAGGAAAATATAAGTTACTTTGGAGTAAAAAGAAATTTTTTTGGTTAAAGAATCTTTGACTTCATTAAAGAAATTTTCAATTTTTCTTAATATTTTTTTAAGCCAAGAAAACTTACACTCCAGTCAAGAATTTTTTTTTACAGTGTAATTAAATATAAGTAAAAGTTGTAATAAAAAAAAAATTCAGGGATTTTTAAAGAAAATTTTAGAATCTAATAAATCTTCAATTACTCAATTGTAATCTTTTTTTGGCTTAGAAAATAATTGATTCTATAAATTATTTTCATTAATAAAGGAAAAAAATTTTTTTTAAGGACTAACTGAAGAAACTAGTCAATAAATAGGGATAGAATTTTTTATTTTTTATCTGAAATTTTGGAAAATAACTAAAAAATGTTTTTTTTGCAGATTTTAAGATGGATTTTTTTTTTTAATTCAATCAATTAATTTATTTAATTATCTTTTAAAGGCGCTACATGAGGAATGAACAATTGTTTGACAAACTGGTGGCCAAGGCCAGGACCTTTGACTCTTCTTACTCGTCAATTGGAGGAAATGCTCCGGTGATGGCGATGAGGTTCGCGAAAGAAGGCTGTGATGTTCTGCTGGCCGCCAAAATGACTGACTCTTTGAGGCTGATGGTTCCCGACGAAATTGAAATCGTCGGGGGAAAAGTTGACAGGGATGACATTCACCTGATTCTGGAGTACAAGCGCGGCGAGCAATGGGGTCCTTACACCAGCGCTAGAGCTAACAGATATATTATTCACAATGACAACAACAATCCGACTGTCAGTTCTCTGGAGGCTTTTGATGAAGCTCTAAAGGAGTTCAAGCCTGATTTGCTGGTTGTCAGTGGGCTACAGATGATGGATAATTTTCCTTTTGCTGAAGGTGAGTCAATTTTTTATATTGCTAAAAAAATATTTCAAAAATTTTTTTAACATTTTTATTTTCAATTTATAGATTAATAATTTATTTTTATTGTTATTACATTATTATGTATTAATAAATTTGCTATCTTTATTAGCTGATAAATTATCAGTGACAATAAAAAGTCTTTATTTGAAATAATAAAAAAATTTATTGTACTAAAATTAGTAAACAGATGTTAGTTTTAAAATATTTTTATTAAAAAAAGGTTTTTTTTTATTTTTTACATCTATATTGTTAAGAGAATAACAAAAATATTTAGGCTGCATTTAAAAATGATCTATCTCTAAACACATAATTAAGAAATGACCTTGTATCTTGTGAACTATTGACATTTTTAAAGATATAAGCTCATCCCGATGTTACACCCTTCAAGACCTTTCGTTTGAGTACCCACATCAATTTTTCATATATTTTATATACTTATATATATATATATATTATATATATGTATATATGAAAAATATATCAAAAATTCATGTGGGTACTCAAATGAAAGCTCTTGATGAGTATAACATCAGGATGAGCTTATATCTTTAAAATAGTCAATATTTAAGAAAGTATGGTGCAATTTAACAAATCATTATTTAATAAAGCAAAATTTTATTTATAGTTCACAAGTCACGGCAGTCACATAGTGACTGCAAGATTGCTAGTTTTTTTTAATTATTTATTTTTTTATTTTTAATAGTTAAATTTTTTAAATATTTAAATTTCTACTAATAAGTTGTTTTTCTTATTTTTAATTTTTTAAACTTACAATAACTGTTTTTTTTTTTCTAATTTTTCATATTTTTAAAAATTGCATTAAAATTTTCATAAGAAATTTTTATTTTATTTTAATTTCAATCTAAATTATTTAAAATCATAAAAAAATATTCAAACAATACATAACAAATATTTGCTTAAGCTAAACAATTTCCTTCAACAATTATTAAAATAATTACTTAAAAAAAAAACAAATATTTAATAACTTGTTATCGCTCTTAAATTAAATAATAACGTCAAACTTAAAATAATAATAAAAATAATAATAATAATTAAAAACCAACAGTACAATTTATTAATTTTTATCAACAAGGTAATTATTTAATAATCCCTAAAATTTTCTAGGAGTAAAAAAAGAAAGACTGAATAAAATCCGACAGCAGATGATGAGCCAGCTGCCGAGCACGAGGATCCACTTCGAGATGGCTTCGTTCGTGGAAAAAGACTTGATAACAGACCTAGAGAACATGGTCCTGCCATACGCGGACAGCCTGGGGATGAACGAGCAAGAGGTCGCGAACCTCTACAACTCAATGTACCACGGGAACATCTCACTGGTCGCGGACTCCAGTCCGCGAGTCGCTACAATATTGGATTACATGCGGGTGCTCTTCAAGCTAGTGAGGATGCGGGGCAAGGAGATCCAGGGCGCACGTGAGCTCACCAGAATACACGTACACACCCTGGCTTACCAGGCGATATTGACCGTCAAGTCGTCCAAGTGGAAGAATACGATGGCCGCGGCTGCTAAGGCTTCCCTTGTCGCTCATCGTCATGTTTGCGGGACCAGCAATGTGAGTAATCTTGTTTGCGAGTGTAAATATTTATTTTTTAGGCTTGGTTTTTATTACGAGTCAATCAGAGGAGATTTAAGTGATTTAATAAAATTAAAAAAAAATTTTTTTTTTAATTCCGATGTTACACTTGTCAAGAGCTTTCATTTGAGTACCCACATGCATTTTTGATATATTTTTCATATATACATATATATAACATATATTTTAAA